TGGCCGCTCTGCAGCTGACAAGCAAAAGTGTCGCTTGCTCAACACCTTGTTAACCTGTTGCCCTATACACACACAAACACATAAACACAAACACATACATACAAACACATATATAATACAATTATATATAATATATATACTATATATATATAATATATATTATATTATATATATATAAAATATATATAATATATATACATATATATATATTATATAATATATATATATATATATTAAACATATATGTCTATATACATTCACATTTATATATATATATATATGTATACAGTATATATACATATTATACTATATATATATATATATATATATATATATATATAATATATATTCACATATATGTCTAATGTATTCATATATGTATATGTATAATATGTGTGTGTATATATACTATATATATATTATATATAAATATATTATATATACATGTCAACACACACACATACACATATATACACAAACACAAACCACAGCGGACACACAGCAGCACACACACACACACACACACACACACACACACACACACACACAACACACACACACACACAACACACATATATACTATATATACATATATATATAGTATATATATATTATATACATGTATATATATTTATATATGTATATATATATAATATTATATGATATATTTTAATAATAATGTATATATAATGATATGCATAAATATGATGATGTATATATGCATGCATATATATGTATATCATATGTATGAATATATAATGTATTATACATACAGATATTAACAATACATACTACATGTACTATACATATATGTGTGTTGTGTGTTGTATATATACACATATATACAATACATATATGTATGTATATATATTATATGTGTGTGTTGTTTGTGTGTATGTATGTATGTGTGTGTGTGTGTTTGTGTGTGTGTATATATGTGTATGTGTATGCATATATGTGTGTATGTATATATATGAATTACATATATATATATAATAATATATATATATATATATATATATTATATATATATATATATATATATATATATATATATATTTATTTATATATGTGTGTGTGCATACATAAATGTATATATATAATATAGTATATATATATATATATATATATATATATATATATAATAATACATACATACATGCACAGATACATATATATTCGTATCATACATCATAATATATATATATATATATAATATATATATATATATATATATATATATAAAAAAACGTTACAGAAGAGCTTATATCTACCTAAACACACATCATCACGTCAGTATGTGAAAAAAATACATAACTACTGAAATCATTACGATGAGTTTGAATGATGATTTAAATGAACAATGATTTCAATGGTAATTATGATTAAATGATACATGAATACATGTGTTATTCATTACAAGGAATTCGATAATCATTAAACCATTAAATAATATACACTTACTATGAACAAATAGGTTATTAGAAATTAGCCATGATTAGACAAAAAACCTAATATATATCCAAATATCTATGCAAATTCAAAATATTCATGAAAAATAGAGTTCTACCTTTTACCTGGAGATTTCAATGCCATGTTCTTAGTATCGGGGTTAGACTGCAGTATCGGGGTTGGAGCGCGTTGAAGTCACCCGCGTGTGGGGGATAAGTGGGCGGGGTCTTGCGTGTTTGGGGACTAATTGGTCACGCCCACAAAAAGCCCGACTAGACCAACCACACAACTGTACGCAAGAAAAAAGAAAGAAAAGAAAATGAAAGAGACGGAATTAAGAAAGAAAAAAAGAATAAAGAAATAAAAATGTAAAGAAAGAAGAAAAAGAAATAAAAACAAAACAAATCTAAAAAAAACGAAAAAAAGGGAAAAAAAGAAAAAGAAAGAAAGAAAAACATATACATATACATCCATGTTTACGAACTGCATGCTGTCCAAAAAGCTGCCATATATGTGTGAACGTGAAAACGGGCTATTGAACTTGCATCTCAGGTACTTAGGTTATAAAGGTTATAATTCAACTGTTGTGAAAGTTAGAAGGGGTGAGTAGGTTAATATATGCAAGTGGGAGATAATACAAAACAATTAGATTAGTGCAAGTTACTTATATGAATCTTGCAGTCAGAGATTTCTCTTCTAATTGTAAAGTCATTAATCTATTTGCTATCAATATTATTTATGATTTTCGGTCTTTTAACTTTATTAATTGTTTTACTTACCTATTTCTTTTCTTATCGCTATCATTATAATTATCCTTGTTTTCCTTATCATTATCATTGTTATTACAACCACTACTATCATTATTATTGTAATTATCATCATCATTATCATTATTGCAACACCTACTACTATTATCATTACTGTTATCATTATTCTCATTTTTATCATTGTCATTATCATTATCATTATCATTATTATCATCACTAT